GCGCGAGCGAAATCAGAAGAGAGGGTCAAAGCACGTGACCACGCTTGTATTGTATGAAATTGTACAAGTGCGCGTTTTTGTAGTTTTTTGTATTCAAGCAAAAAGCGATTATGCAATTGATGATATTGTAGTGGAGCAAATACCAGTTCAAAGTAGTGAAAGCAAGTGGAAAAGAATAGGCGAGATGATACAACTGACAGTTCGTTGGTACAGTTAGTTATTACCACCACAATAAATCCAAATCGATCCCCTTCCTGGAATCTTCCCTGATATATTCCTAGATACTTTCTATCCCGTCGCAGTCTGAAAGATAGCCCACCGCTCGTTAATTCACTGCCAGCGTAATTCGAAACAGCCAGAAGGGAGCACGCCTTTCACGAGATACAGAATTTGTATTGTCATATTTCTTTTGTGTTCATTTAAACAAAAGTTATTCGGTATGAAGAGAAGAGGAATAAGCTGAGATTTTAGTGAGAGATAGAAAGTGGTACAGTTTGAGCAATGATAAGTTACAAAGAAAGTAGTAATGTACAATGGTCAGAAGGATCACCATAACATACGCAATGTAATAATGGAAGTAAAATGAAGGTAAAAAGCCACTGACGGTACAATGGTCAGAAGGATCACCATAACATACGCAATGTAATAATGGAAGTAAAATGAAGGTAAAAACGCCACTGACGCAGAAAACACGGCGGAGACATTGTGAGAAGTTTTTCAAGCTGAGGGCGCGCACACTCATTAGACAACATCTTTTCTTATCTCGGGTAGTAGCTGCCTGGAATGACCTTCCTCCGACGGTTTTCCACGCTCCTTCTAGAACCCAGTTTAAAGCATTATTAGACATTTTTTATGCTAATATTTGCCCTGGCAAGCATGCTGCCCCGCGCTGAGAACATAAAGAGCAGTGCTACATTCCTTTTCCGCTTTTGCCTTTCAGGTGAACGATGGCCAGTGACCGACAAGAGCACAACGGACCCGGAAACTTGGGCAAAAGCCTCGATTCTGTGCATCCACCCATGAACCCGTGAAAGGATTTTGCAACAAATGCATTGTGCTTCCAAGGCGCGGCGCCAGCGACTTTTCGGTTGATGAATCACCGATTGCGCCCAACATCGTGTCACAGTGATCCAGACAGTGTTTTAAACGAGCGAAGGGTTGCTTCTAATTGACTATAGAACCCTGACATGGCTTTGAAACAACCCGGTCCGTATGTTAGTAGCTCTTTTCCATCCCGGAAATCAGTCTACTAGCTTTGGAATTCTTGGTATTCAAGAAACTTTATTAATACACCAAATCTTTGACATTGGTCTGTGGGAACCATTTGGAGCTGTTAAAATACATTTATAAAATCTCTAGGTCATGAAGCTGCAAATTATTTGAAAAGCACATGATTTTTCGCGGCTACAGCAGATCTACATCGTGTAGTATTCTGTTTCCCAAAACCCCTGCAATATGAATTCAGTACCCGTCTGGCAAACGAGTCTGAAGTGTAGCAATCCACATCTGAAACATATGGAGGAAGATTTGCTCTATCACCTCGGACTATCTACGAAATCTGTCAACTTCAGAAAAGAGTTTGGCGATGTGAAGGTAATCACAAGTTACGAAAGTTTTCACAAACTTTGAATTATCTGTCGTTTTTATTCTCTTCTCATTTCATAAATCTTATGACCTCATCGTCAGAAGACCCAAAATACCCGATGTACAGTCCAAAGGTCAGGTTTTACCGACTGCTCACTGTGTTTCTTTTATTCTGACGGAGGTCTGCGTGTACCTCAGTGTGCTTTTCTCTACAGTATCCCAGTTATATCCGACATAACCAATGATGAGGATTGACTGTTTCTGTTGATTCCAGTTGCTCGCCCGGAAACTGAGTACATTGGAATACGCTTTAACCCAGACATGCATTCCACATTTGAAGCAGGGCGTCGTGAAGCTGGAGAGAGTACAGAGGGTGGCAACCCTATGGGTTGTTGTAAGGATGGGAAAGACCTATCAGAAAAATTTGCCAGGTCGCAGGAAACTTGCGGGCCATTGCCCAGTGAAACCCTTCTGTTGTCTTGACTTATGATTCTACTCAAAGCTGCTGTTCAATAAGCAATTTTCATTATCCGTCTACCTCCTAGCAGCTCCGAATTCACTATTCTTTTCCAGCACCTGTGGTATGTTTAGGCCGGTTTGTGTCAGGATGTCTGATTACGTCCATCAAAAGACTGTTGTGTCTGTGCCGAGTTTATGTCGTCCTATTCATAGCTTCTATCAGTAAGGTTGCCTGAAGTATATCTTTAAGTGTGTGACTCATAAGGGGGTTAATGAAAACGTGCCGATTGTCAATATATGATGAGGTAACGGTACTCAATCTGGAGGCGATGCCAGAAGCTAAGTTTGTTTTCGGATTGGTATGGGTTTGCGGCAGGGGTCTGGACGGCCAAGGCTTCTTCAACCTCGGAACAAACTTTCGGCGGAATGGTGTGGATTGAAGTGAATTTCTGCGCGCCCCTGGCTTCCCTGTCTTGCTGGTATCTGTTTAACCTATTGTAGATACTTGGCACCCAGGGCTTGGATTCGATTATCTGACTGGTATACTAAATAGGCGATCTGGCTTAGGCCGCATAGAGTTTATGTAAGTCCACGCGAATGATAATTCAAAATATCTGCCCCTTACCACACATGACTAAGTCTTTTCTGAATAAATTATTGACGGGCACATGTCATCACTCACGGACGTCAATCCAATGATTACTGTTTTTGTGAGGTGCAATGCCGCTGGGACTCGACAAAACCTGGAGCTGGTCATGAAAGCGTATCGGAAGGGCCATTGGCGTAAATGAGAAAAAGGAGTCCTGAAGGGCTCGGACGATCCGCAGGAAATACCAGTACGTTTACCCAACGTTCACTGCGGGAGACGAAGTTTTATTAACAGAACACAGTGGTCTGCGCATACCGGAAGTGACTTGGCTTTAGTTGCTTGGCGAGAGATCTTTCCCTGGCAAAACAAATCGTCCATCCTTAACTTTGTTTTGATGTTAAATCGCCATACCACCCGAGCGAAGCACGAAGGTTGAACTATCTCAAGCTGGTAATAATCAAACTTAGTGGGGTTTATTTCGCTCGAACCAAATATGGTTGGTGTCCGAACGCAGCTTTCATGCCGATGAACAACGGCCACCACAAGTGCTGCAATTTCATCCAGGAAATTTCATTTGGTGCAAAGCGGTGGTAAGACCAGAGTCGCTCTAGAGTTCCGTGGGGAACAGTAGGTCAACTTCTTTTCTGAGGTACATGTTTACTGCATTGAGTTACCGTTTGCCAGGTTAACGATGCTGTTTGATACCCATTTGCGATCGAAGATAAACGCTGATTGTACCCGGCTTCTGACCTTTCTCGGGAGTGCTTCCACCATATTATCCCATACCCTGGTCACTTTGGAGGTGAATTCCTCTAGGGGTCGTCCCAGCCCCGGTATTGATTGACCGACCACGTTTAACCTATTATTTGTAGATATTTCTAAATAAAGTAATGGTTCTGCTGTAGCCAGTAATGGCAGCTAGGTACATCTCTTGAAATCAGTCTCACGATGTCGCCAGTTTTCGTCTGAAAAGGATGTAAAAGCGAACAGAATTCCGAGAGCTGATTTACTTGATACTATCCTACAGGGTGATATGAAAGGGGCATAGAATACCGTAGAAACCATTCTACAGCTTTTATGTACGGTCTGCACGCCACTGAACAATGCCAGTACCTCCGTCTAATTCCCTCTCGAATGAGTTAACCACCGTGGTCACTAACATTTCATCTGAACAGTTTGCCAGTAGCAGTGAACACTACAGATTAGGCACGATTGATTAGAAGACGAAATGAAGCTCGCACAAATGGAGAAAGACTAATCCGCGTCAACACCAGTCAGTTTACGATAGATGACCGCAGCCTAAGATGCTAAGATGTCTTTTCGTACTGATAGCTCAAAAAATGGATGCTGGCTCTTTTTATTTACATAGTGAGAGGCTCGTTGTTACAGAAACTGAAGGATTTGTTCAAAAATTCGTTTATTTACACTTATGCGTTGGACTATGTGTTGAAATGCATATACGCAAACAAAACTGCAAAGGATGCACCAAGAACCAAGTAGGACTGGTAAAAGTCTGAAGACTAGTTATTCGCCGAGCCACATGGTGGAAGGAACCATTTGAAGTAAATAACAAGACCACCTGCAACTAACCTAACCACACACACCTGATCACACCTACCTATGTGATAATTTCTTACCGGACAACTGTGCATATTCTGCTATGGGTTCGGCGCACATAGGGCCTCGTTTTCTGCAAACCACCGTATCTGAATAGCAGCTACTCCAATTTGACACTAGCTAAGACACTCAACGAAAATATCAGACGAATTTGCGAAAGTTATGCTGTTATACTGTTAGTTTGGCTAGCCACCTCTTCTAACTGAATAAGTCGGCTATCAGTTACTGAGAAAGGCAGCCATACATCTTTCCACCGCTACTAATGACACTTGTGCTTCTCTTGTGTTGATATGTTTCTTATGGAGCAATACCACCTGACAAGTATCAGTTTTTGGCCATGAAGTCATTTCTCGAAAAGTGGGTGAGCCAACAGCCCATCTGACGACGCTCTTATGGGGTCCTTGAAGTTGTAGTCTACGATCCTGTACACTTGACTCATTGTTACGAGTGGGAAGAAGCATAAGACTTCTCGACAAACTAGAGGAATATTCACACTTATCGCATCAGCCGCAAGCCTTTTTTTGCAAAATAAAGATTCAAAATGCATCCGAGTTGCATGTGCTTCCAGTCCGAATGAGATCCTCTGCGGCACACTGTTGTGGCCAGTGTGGCCTGAGGGTCCGTAACTCTGAAACTGACCGTTCCATTGCTCTAAAACGAAATCTAGGAAACGTGACCGCAAACAAGAACATCATTTAGGCTATCAGTAAGGGTGCCACAAGAACACCCACCGACGTTTTGTGATGAAATGGCCCATTCCACATGATGGCACCCTCAGCACAGTCGTATGGCTTTATGTCACCGATTTCTTACTTCTTACCGATGTCATGTTATTTTTTATGCGAGGTTATGGCGGACGAAAGTTGTCGTATTGTGGAAAACATGGGTGGTCTCATCAGTTTCACCGCGCGATGCCCAAGATGTGGGCACAGAGAAGCAGAATGGATGACATTACCTACACTATGCTTCAAGACACTATAGGGCTGTCGTACTGCAGCTCCCGGACCTGGATGCTCCTTGCCGTACTGTACTTGAATTACTCGCAAGGTCGAATTATTTATATTCAAAGCTCTTTTAATCGGCAATTAGCAAGCACGGGAACCTGAATTCAGATATCCTGAGGGTGTTGAGTAATCAAAAGTTAGAAATCAAGCTGATCTTCTAGATACCTGTGAGGTACGTGCACCGGACGTCTCATGATTGCTGATAAACTAAGGCGCCGCTACGCAGATGAGATTTCTGTGTTTCGAATAACTTCAGGTCGAGCGCGCCGGAATTTCCGACAATAAACTCACCGGAAGTGTTACAGGAAACCCAGTGGACCTAAACCTGCCAACGTAGAGTTACTCAACTTGAACAGTACAGTTTTCTGCTTACGCCTTTTGAACCAAAGCTGTCACGTAGGACTTGCTGTGAAGTCAGAGGCCGAGTGGATAAGACCATGGAATACCATCTTGACTACATAGGGTTGCCATTCACATGAGCGCTAACTTTCCCCTTAATAACCCACGCGCATGGCATTCCTGAAATGTAGACTTAAATAGGAACTAACTTCTCTGTGCGCGGTTCTTATTGATTTCACTGGATTTGTGATTACGCAAATCACATAGTACTGCCGTAGATGATGCTGATGGTCCNGCTTACGCCTTTTGAACCAAAGCTGTCACGTAGGACTTGCTGTGAAGTCAGAGGCCGAGTGGATAAGACCATGGAATACCATCTTGACTACATAGGGTTGCCATTCACATGAACGCTAACTTTCCCCTTAATAAGCCACGCGCATGGCATTCCTGAAATGTAGACTTAAATAGGAACTAACTTCTCTGTGCGCGGTTCTTATTGATTTCACTGGATTTGTGATTACGCAAATCACATAGTACTGCCGTAGATGATGCTGATGGTCCAGAAACCCAGTCACAGTAACTACAAGCAGATCATAAAAAATGATGTGGACCACCCAATGAGAAGAGAGAGCGAGGGAGGCAGTCAGTTCTATCACAGTAATTGCGTCTTGTGTCCTTGTTTCTGAGAGACAACATACATCGATGAAGAGGGAATCCAGCATACGAGCAAGAGCCACTTGTTGACCTGATTGGTTCAGCGTGTGAACGTTGAAGGTGGTAAGTAGACAGGCTTTCGGAGTTTGAAAACAGACTTCGAAGTGTTTAGGGTTGCAACTGAACTCGGATTTGCAGAAGCTGCAGCAGATTGTGATGCAGGGCGAGCGAAACTGTCAGTCCTAGAGATGGGACCTGCGGAGAAAGTATTCAAATTTGGGCGTGGGAGGCTGAAATACGGAAAACGTGAAACTATAAGGAGGGAGGTGTCAGCGGTAGCATGTTTT